CGTAGTACTGGGCATTTAATAACGTTTCAAGTACTTGGGCGCTCTGACACAGCATAAACCAAGAATTGCTTTTGTTCACAATTTACGTTTGTTGCTTGTTCCAGTTGCCTCGTATACACCATTTGGTCAGAGTGAAACATTTATCTCCACTTCTTCACTTACCACGAAAGAGCCTCTAACTTGAAAAAGTATGAATAACGCGTACAACGCACAAGCGTTTCTAGAATTTTTTCTGCATTCACTAAATATTGATATCATATCAACTTTATCGTTTCTCGTAAAACTCATAGTAAAAAATGCTGTAGGTTTACCTTTTATGGAATAGGAATAAGTGACAATAAATTTAAGTGAAACAAAGATTGCCAAACTTCAAATAACTAAGCAGTAATGGGTACGCTATGAATTGACTTTCATTTGTTTTCAACAGCCTACTATTCTTTTCAAATAAATGATATTTGAAAACATCCTAAATTTTCATAGCCTCCTTACTTTCTTGCGGCGATTGGTAGTATGAAAGAGTTGTAATTTTGATTTGTTACTAAACCGATCCTAGCTTTATTTTTTCTTTCTTTCTTTTATGCAGCTGTCATTTGACAACAAAAGTGATACTTGTTATACATCATTGGATAGATAACTTTACATACAATAAGGTTTAAAAATCTATAAAAAATCTTGGGTTGAAGATGTATTTTTTCAAATGAATATACTAACATGAAAAACACGTATACAAGCTTTCGTTTATTTAGCTCGGCTTAATAGACATTAATTTGTTGATCACGCCAGCTTAAAAGCTTAAGAGATGTTTTTGTCTTGTAAGCAGTATGGCGGATTTTAGGTTACTCACAAATTCCTTAAGCGCCGCCATTTTAAAACGAAAATGTCACTTGTGACCCATCGTTTGAAAGGGAATTTTGCATAGAGTACGGTTATGGAAGAAAATATTTAGGTTTCCATTTGGAAAATGAAAGTCCAGGTGACTTTTTTTAGCTAAAAGGAAGAGATAACCCTTTCAACTTTCCAAAAATACCTATTAATGACTAGCTAAACATGATCCAATCTTGGGGCGATATCTTTATTGGCCAAAAAAATACAGCTTGTATCTAATTTAAATATACATATATACATATATATATATATAACTTGAGACGTGGTCATTGTCGTCTAGACCAGTTAGGTGAAAAATTAAAGCTTCCGCCTTTTGTTGGGTACTTCGACAAAATTTAAGCAAAGAGGACTCTTTATACTTTTTTAATTCTCTCTAGCTTTCAATGGACTTTGCCATCATCATCGGGAGCTGCAATTACAATGATAACAGTAGCAACAAAAGTGCAAAATGAATTTAAATTGACTCAACTTACAGTAGTATGTGAGGATGTTGCTAATTGTTGTTTATGTATAGGATGAGGGAAACGTCCAGTAACATGGTGAGAGCTGGATAGATGGTACAATGGTCAAAATTATATAAAATATGACAAGAACAAGTTAAAAACAGATTAAAATTATTTAAAAAACATTAGAGCATTACATCGTGAAGCCACTCGATGATTGCACAAAATGGTGGTCATGGAATAGTGAGTGAGATTGACAACCTTCGGCCTTCTGTCAAAGGGTTTCATCTCACTCACTATTCCATAACCACCATTTTGTGCAATCATCAAGTGGCTTCACGATATAATGCTCTAATGTTTTTTAAATAATTTTAATCTGTTTTTAACTTGTTCTTGTCATATTTTACATAATTTTGGCCATTGTACCATCTATCCAGCTCTCACCATGTTACTGGACGTTTCCCTCATCCTATACGTAAACAACAATTAGCAACATCCTCACATACTACTGTAAGTTGAGTCAATTTAAATTCATTTTACACTTTTGTTGCTACTGTTATCATTGTAATTGCAGCTCCTGATGATGATGGCAAAGTCCATTGAAAGCTAGAGAATATTAAAAAAGTATAAAGAGTCCTCTTTGCTTAAATTTTGTCGAAGTACCCAACAAAAGGCGGAAGCTTTAATTTTTCACCTATATATATATATATATATATATATATATAAATAGGAAAATAATGGGCAAAATCCACAAAAAGAAAGAAAGTGGATTCGTGCAGAAAATAGGATAGGCAACCCGAGCGATACGTATTTCTGCTGCATGGAGAAAATATACATACATACTATGCTGCAGAATAAAGTATATTCGTATTATTTGTCGCAAAATCTCCCAGTATTCCTCTACCCCAAATAACTGCTCTGGGTTTCTTATCACATTTTTTTTTGATAAATTCATTATTTCGGCTTATTGGGGATAACGACTAGAAATCTGCCCTTATGCTGCCCTGAGCAGGTAAAAAATGCTTATCTTTTGATGGAGCTCTAACGTTTTGCTTTTTAAACGGATCCGATCAGCCTAAAAATAAAAACACGAAGGGCCGATAGCATACCTTTCGATGGAGGGCAATTTTTGAGGTTTAACATCCGAGAGTATACGTATAGCCCAGGGAATATAGAAGAAAAAATGACGCCAGGTAGGCTGACGCAGACATCGGTGGATCCTCAAACACATTATTGAAGTCACAGCTGAAAATGTAATCATTTTACTAGTAGGGAACACTGAACTATTAAAATCTGATAAACATACGTAGGCGTTTACCTTTTCTTGTCACTTGGTATACAAAAATAGAAAACTGAGATAGTTCTACCTCACCTCCACGCAACCTGCAGCCCCACAATTCCTCACCCCTACATATGTCAGGATCCTCTGATACGTCAAAAAATATATAAAATAGTAATTTTTATGTAATCTGAAAAAATGGTACATAATAGTTACTATGCTTAAAACAAATTCGTAATGGCAATTCTTGAATTAAAAAATATATCATAAAGCTGTGCATGAATCATTCTGAGATTTTATCAAGTCAAACGGTAGATCGTCACCACAACCCTCCCCAGACTATCGAATCGCTGTTTACGTTGAAAGGCCTTTCTGAGAAATAAAAGGGGCTGGTTGTTATTAGCTTATGAGATCGAAATGGAAGCGATAGCGGTTGGGAGCTGTGGTAGAAAGGGAATTTCCATGGTGCTTTAAGACGACCCACCCTTTTATCAACATACCTTAGTACGGGTCAATTTGAAAGCCTCTGGAACAAAATACTTAGGTCGTCGGAGTCCAAGGTGACCGTTAAAAAAGTGGTGAAATGTCGCGGAGACCCTAACATGCCTTGACCTTCAAGGTATTGTCTTAAATCACATCAAATATGGATAGAGGGGAAGATTTCACGTTCTATCCGTATCATGGCCTCCAAAAATGTTGAGCTTTGATTATCAAACAGATACAATAATCTCTCTACAAGTAATTATACCCAAGCATAGGCGTAGCATTTTCTCCTTTTTACTTCTGGCGGAAAGCTTGAATTTAACTTTGACTGTTACGTTCAAGGTCAGTTCAAGGTCCAACCAGTTTTTGACACCTCACATGGATAAGGAGGAAGGTCATTGTTAAGGTCAAATACGTGATCAGTAGGATAATCTCGAGAACCCTTACTCTAGAAGATATACTTCCTCATTTGGATAATTGGCTTTACTTAAAAATGCACTTGATTGTTAGGTCAAATTGAAATTCAAGGTCATATTCAGACAGCCTAAACATATACCTGGGTGGAATTTATTTCAAACCCGTGGTCTTGGGGACTACTTTATCTGTTGCATATTAGACCTTAACCATGACCTGTAATAACTCACTGGCGTTGAACTTTTCGCTCAATCCATTTTCGGTGTCTACAATATACAGGGTGTCTGAAAAGTTCCGGAACCTCACGATAATTTGTGAACCAATAATGCAAAGAGAAAAGGAATCCTTGATGTTGATAGGAGTTTTTCTCAGCTTTTTAATGGTGACCTTGACCATGACCTTTACGGCTATTTGAAGGTATAGTCGGTTTCTTAAATGGAGACTTCCATTTTTACCCCGTAAGTAGTAGGAGCGGGAAATTTGACGTTCAAATATGGTCTTGAACATTTCTGAATTTTTACCTTAAGAGGTCATGATCAAGGTCAGACCAAGGTTCGATGATATAAGTTGAAAGCAAGTAGTTGTATAGGGAAACCACGGGGACCTTATTTTCATGATTTTCCCCTGGATATAAGATGGCAACCTTGGATCTGACCTTGGTCATGACTTTTCAAGGTTAGTCCTGTTTTAATAAGACCCTACATATTTGACCGCGGCAATGGAGAAAAAAATGTTTGGTTCCAATATGTCTTTGACTATCTTTAGAACTTGATCTTGAACTTAAACATCAAGGTCAAACACAATTTACGTTCATTCCTAATTCAGAACACTGTGTAGTCCCAAGATAATTTGACTTAACTGTTATACAAAAATCGATGTGACGTTTACATGACCTTGAAGTTAATCATTGTTCAGGTCAGATCCAAGGTCGCCATTAAGTATCGTTGGAAAAATCGTGAAAATAATGTCTCGGTAGTTTCCTTATACGATTACGGGTTTTTAAATTATATCGTCATACCTCGGCTTGACCTTGACCATGACCTCTTAAGGTCGAACTTCAAAAATGATCATGGCCATATCTGATCGTTAAATTTTCACCTCTTTTTATTTGCGGGATCAAAAATGGAGAGTACGTATGACTCTTAAAAAGGGACCTTGACCTCAAAATGACCTTGATTTTCGATGGCAATGTCAAATTCATGGTCACCGTCGGTAGGGAGTGGAAACACTCAGGCCTGTGGAGAATTTGTGTGTATTGTCGAACGCTTTCTATACTTGGATCATCTTGTTAATCTGAGATGTAGCTAAAATTGTCGGAGAACGCTGAACAAACGTTCATCGGAAGAACGCGCTTCGCGTCTCTTGCGTCAAGGGAAAAGCAAATAATCCGCTGCCAGAATGGCAAAGATTTACATGCTTAATGTACGTATCACCAAAAGTAAACCGGAACGACACGCGATGGTAGAAAGTTTGCGAATGTTAGAAAGAACAAACAGTGTGTTCATAAGGAGAATTTTTATTCTTTACATGGTTTTGTCAGAAGGGTTACTGAGATGCTCACACTTTTATCTAAAAGTGTGCCTGGACAATTCTAAGTTATCGACGATTCATCTACTTGAATGATGCACTTCCATCTGCATCTACATCCACCTGACTCCATTTTTTCATCTACGCTCCCGCAAAACTACTTGTCGTTCTATTCAATCTCCTGTGGTGGAACCTGAAACCAATAATTTCTTTTGAAGTATGCGTTCCCCAACTAAGGCAATGGCAACATGTAAATGCAACGCCTCCTTTCATGATCGTACCAGCTTCGATTCGTTTGCATCGAACTGAAAACGAACTTTGGAAGCGGCCAAATTAAAAGTTGAAAACGCGATTCAGCAATTTCATCATAGTATCGGTGTGAGATGAACGATGAAAGGTACGTGCCTATCACATCGAGCGGAGCGTTCGTTAAATTAATTTGCTGCCGGAGGTGAACTGTGCCAAGTTGATGCTGCAACTACACAAGGGCACGTTTCGTGGCAGATGCATAACGAATATTGCGCTAGTGATGCCCATTAGAAGCACTAGAATATGCATAAAGCGGGCTACTAACGTTATTGTAATGACGTAACGTATGTCCTAATGGTTTTGGCACAAAATTCTTTAGCTTTAATTTTAACCAAACGAAAGTTTATTTGCTTACTTTACTGTCAGTTGACATATATTTATTTTGTTTTCGCTTTAAGATGTCATATAAATTAGAATTAAGAAAAATTATCTACAAGGTGGTTGAGCGGCTATCCAGAGCTGGAATATGTGGAATATTCCAGATTGAAAATATTTCACGCAAAACCATTTATCGAACAATAACGTCTGAATCTCCCAAAAAGTGAAAGACCACGTGCATTTATTGCACAAAGGTCAGAGAGATTGGTGCAAAGAGCAAAACATCAGACTGGAATGTCAACAATGACACTCGCTCGTCGATACAGATCTTCTAAGAGACTTAAGTGCCCCAAATAACACTGATAAACACAGGATTTGTGGAATGACAATTTTTAGGTGTATCTTATGTATTTTGAGACCCTCAAATTAAATCTAAAAACAGATATTCGGTAACATCCACTTTTATGAATTACAATACGTAACATCTCATATTGCTGCATTTCTCGGCGTTTATGCGATGACGCACATATATAATGTTAAGACCTGTCTATTCCTGTTTACTATATGCGAGCTCTATGTTTAGAGAGCACATTACGTATTAGTAGACTAATAGCAAACGAGTCAGTTACGTTTTCTGTGTTGAAGAGTGCTGAGATGTTCTGACTACTGCTAATTTTTGTTAAAACGGTGTGTTGTTTTTAGTTTATTGTGATCGAGACTAGCTTTATGGACAATGCCTAGAAATTGTGTAAATAGTGCGAACATTTTTTGTTATGTGTGCGGAGAGCTAACTTTCAAATCCCAAAAACGTTCTTTCACTCCCCTTGTGTTGAAAGCATACGAACTTTATTTTGGAATCGAAGTTGGCGACCAAGATAAACTATGGGCTCCTCATATATGTTGTAAGACTTGTGTAACGTTGTTAACAGGTTGGTTAAGAGGCGACAATCGTAAAATGGTTTAGAGGAAACCGAGAGACCATACTATGCTATTTTTGCCTCACAAATATTAAAGGTATTGGACCAAAATCGAAACATATTGTTAAGTATTTTAATTTACCATCAGGTTTGCGGCCCGTTGAGCATAGCGATTAACTTTCTGTCCCAGTTCAACCAGAATCTTGGTCTTTGGATGAAAAAGTCGAATCAACAGATTCTGAAAGTGATCCTCCATTTGACCTGCCAGGATGTTCAATAGCGCCGCATTAATGACTTAATTCGAGAATTGGATCTGTAAAAATCTCAGTCAGAACGTTTAGCGTCAATATTAAAAGGATGGAATCTTCTCCACGGTATTAACAGGAATTGTTGCAGTATGACCCGCTTTTGACACAAATGCCGCGACCATCTTTTTCGAAAGACTTCGAGAACGGATGACCTTTGTTGGCTTTTCATCACCTTGCTGTACACACAAAAATTCAAAACCAGCAAATATAAGAGACATTCGAACACAGTTGTGTCTGGCAGAGCAGGATGGGCCACACATAGCACATTTGTAATCAAAATACTAACGGTTATAAAACGGCTCCGGAATATTGCACCACAAATTCGATGCTCAAAACTGAAGAATAATGTACTCTAAGGTAGAGATCATTAAACGAGGATTCCTCCGGCGCTACATTAATGATCTAGACTGCATTCGGCGGCACTAAAACAGTGAAGTACCTTTTAATTTGACTACTTTATAATAATGGGCAATTTTCGAGCTATAAAACTTTTGCGCGATGGTAAAGAATAATGTTGTTAAAAACTCCATTATTTAGTAATAACTTTCCGTTGCAGTCTGAAAGTTTGATATTAAGTTTGCCGCTGGTAAATATGACTTCGTAAACATGAAAGAACTTTACATTCCGCATTGTATAATTTTATTCAGCGGGTTGACTTTGCGATATTGCTTTAATATGTGGAGTGAACTTCGATGGAGCATAGCGTTGAAAACTTCGTATGCATGTAACACGACATAATTTGAGGCGCGAAACTCTATTTTGGGTAGACGAAAGAATCGAAACAGCAAAGCCTGTATTTTTATGTTGCGCAGGCAGAAGCCTAAATGCCAGGGCACCGCGAACTGAAAATTCAAATTCAAAATTTGATTTACTACCTTCAAAATATAGTAAAACCTACAGAAATATACAATTTACCGAACAAAAACCCCATAGAACGCATAGCCTTGTGTATGGGAATGTTTATATCTTATAAGTCTACTAGAATTACAAAAATCCATAATACTTAACATTTAACTTACACCTAAAAACGTTAAAAACAATATTTATAGAAGAAATGTTTTCGAACATGTCACATTTCAGTCAGTAATAGTAAGTAAGAGGCCTGTTCAATATTGAAACCCGTCCTTGGTCCAGAAAAGAATGATTGGCCAATACAGGGTGACTTTGAAGTTGAGTCATTAATTTTCAGATAATGATTGTAGAAGGAAGATAAACCAAAATATGTGTGTAAAAATAAAAAAAAATAAAAAAAAATTTTTACCTTGTTTTATAAAGTATCCTCCCGACAAGTATTTCAGTGCGGACCTGTATTTGATCGTGAGGTCTTGGAGCAACGGCATTCCGTCCATATGTGAGGTCTCTTAAGACCTCAGATCAGTTGACTTATCAACTGATTCACGAACCCGTTGTACTACATTAACAAAGGCACGAGGGGTTGGTTGTACTCGATTGGGAAACCGATCCGCATAAACATGTGCCATTTTTTATTTCGTTTGAGCCACCCAACAGACACCACTATCCACTACCGACTGACACTGAATGTATATAACTAAATAAAATAATTGTAAAAACATCGTTCCACATTCTTTCGCTTTTTTGTTTCCGATGCGATGAACCGATAAGGCGAATTATATCCGTTGTCGCCAAACACGAGCACATAATATTATTATTGAGACAGGGCGGTACTCAAACTTCCAAAGGGCTATAACTTTGTTACTTTAATTTTACCAGAAAAATGGTAAAGGAAAAAAACATTTCTTTTGATCAGATCTACTCACTGTTAAAATAAATGACTCAACTTCGAAGTCACCCTGTATATCTACAAATAATTACACTTTTTCCAGAACAAATTTAATCCAGCATTTTGAGGAATCGGATGCGTTTTTAACGAGCGTCCCTCGTATACACTATACCTGAAGTTTGGCAATCATGTTTACATTTGCATATTCCTGCGCGACAATCACCTGTCATTTGTCGACGCATCACTCTTCCGGTTCGCACATTTTCTCCACGTGAAACAGATATAGGAGGTTAGAAGGGACTTTGCCGGTTTTTTTTCCCCAAAAATTGCTTTTCGATAATTTTTAATGTGTTCGGGTGTATTGATGTATAGCGTTAACACCTAACGATGCTTTCCGTCGCTATCAATAAACCCAATGTGTCCGTCCTTTTGGTTTTATATTTGTAACAAGTGCTCTCATCCACGCTTTCGTTTTGAACACCATTTGGCTGCAACCTCAGCGACGAGTAAGTTGTCTGATAATTTAAACCCTTCCCCGATTGGTCGTTAACTTCATATTTGTGTTTTCAGCTCCTGAAGATGGCTCCATAGACAAGCCGAAAACTCGAGATTACCGTTAAAAGTCCAACTGGTCGTTGGCAATGGCAATGACTACTGCTTGCAATATATATATATAACTCAAATATCTTTCTTCAACGAAAACGTTTTTAAAAAGATTTATTTTTGAGAAAGACCAAATACAATGATGTTAATTGAATGAGTTCTGAATCGAGACTGACTGCAAAGTTCATTATACAAACCAAAGTAAAGAACAAATGAAATACAATACTGTAACTGATAAGAAAGGCACGTGGAGGCAAAAGTCCTTGTTCAGCATATTCTTCTCTGTAGACTGGTACATAACTCCTCCACCCCTAGAATGAAGCTTCCCCTGGAAGGTGAATTTCTTTCTTCTTATATCTTGAACTGGAATCTTCTCTTCTAGTGCGTTTTGTGGGACTTGGACCTTCTTCTTTCATCTCGGCTAATTCAATGTCGATTTCTAACTTGGATGCTTTCTTGTTTCTCCATCTTCTATATAAAATTATGCAGCAGATGCTTGAAAATACGAGATATAGTAATATGGTCCAAATACTGGGTTTTCCAAAATTTTCTATGGAATTTTCTTCTAAAATTGGTAACATTCGATTAACTTGTAATTCTGGTAAATTTAACGTTTTCAGAGTAATTTGTGTCTCTGGGATATTTTGTTTCATAAAATGGAATTCCATTTTGTCAGCTACGAGGGGCTTTCCATAGGTTTTGTCTTGAAAGATAAGTTCATTGTCTTGGAATGATATTTGGCATTCACTGGCTTTGACTAAGAAAATGCCAAGTAATGACTTTGTATCGATTTGCTCCTTGCATTTAATTTTCAATTTTTCTTCGGTGAGAAATACAGCTAAATACTGGTTAATTTCGGGAATAAATTCGATGTGATTTTCTTCAATCTGAAGCTTCGTGTATCTACATGGTTCTGTATGATCTTCTGTAATTATTGACTTCTCGCATTGGGCTTTGTGATTGGCTAATATACGATTAGGGCATTGATAGATTCTAC